TCCAAGGCAGGGTGGCATAGCAGAGGGTCACCGCAGAATGTAGCAAAGCCCATGGCCTGGCAGGCAGGAGGGAAGCCTTCTTTCTGTTCCTTTATTCCATCCAGGCTACCAGCCTGCTGCTTGATGCCACTCACACACAGAGTGGGGCTTCCATTATCCATACACTTAATCCCAGTATCACACCCTTAATCCAGGGCCACCCAGCTCTGAAAGCCACATCACCACTTGGGGTGACATCTACATACAATACATAACATATATATATCTGCTTATTTCCCTTTTTCCCCAGGCCTGGGGTTCAAACCAGAGCCCTACACACACTAAATAGTCCCTCTACCACCAACTACACCCCAAACCCCTACATATTTCCTTACTTCCTCGCTTCCTCCATCACACTATATTACTACTCTTGCATTGCACCTCCTGGGGTAGGTACTTTATGTATTTTATTGAATAAATAAAATGTAGTTCAAAACATAATGTTAGGGGCTGGGAATTTAGCTCAGCAGCACAGCGCTTGCCTGTCAAGCACAAGGTCGTGAGTTCAATTCCTGGTACCGGAAAGAAACAAAAACAAAAACAAAAACAAAAAAAACATAATCTTAGCCTCAAACATGTTAAAGATTCTGAACAGAATTTAAAATGTTTGAACAGAATCATATACAGGTTAAACATCCCTAATCCAAAAATTTGAAATCCACAATGATCCAAAATTTGAAACATTGGGCTCATGACATCGTATTCAAAAGTCTCAGATTATAGAGGATTTTAGATGTCAGGTACTTCATATTAGAGATGTTCAACCAGTTAAGACTATGTAAATGTTTAAAAAAAACCCTAAGTTTTGAAATAATCCAAATCCAAATCTGAATCAAAACTTAATAAAGCTACAAAAGAAGCTATACAAACAACTTCATTAACACAACCTATCTCAAAGGAAAAATTTAGGTTTATTTTAGCGATCTCAGTGTAGTCTAAGGAATCTGTAGGCCAGGTTTGATCTTTTTTTTTTTTTTTTTTGGTTTTTCTCCAGTACCCGGAATCGAACTCACAACCTTGCGCTTGCCAGGCAGGCGCTTTTGCGGCTGAGCTAAATCCCCAGCCCCTGTAGGCAGGTTTGAGAGGCTACAATTTAACAGCTGCTACTTGAAAAAAGATGCAAGAGTCCAAGCATGGTGGCAGAAGGCCGTAATGCCTGAACTTCCAACATATGAGAGGCTGAGGTGTGGTCAAGGTC